AAATATGTTTTAAAGGTTTATGCACATGTGTGATCGCACGCATCGTCCTTGTGCTAACAACCTTTTCTCTTTCTTGACACAAAATACAAAAAAAGTATAAAATCTTAAAAAAAAACCCAAAAACATCAGCAATTTTAAACAACAAACAATCTTCCTAGCCAGAACTACGTGACCCTTGATTCTCCATCAAAAGTGGAGATACGTAGGAGCAAGGTTAGTCCTTGTCAGGTTCACTTCCCAAAAATTCCAAAATCATTTCAAAACAAATTTTTAATCAATTTCCAAACGAAATTTTCAAGCAGTTTGCTAGAACTACGTAACCCTGATTTCTCATTTTGAATGAGAATACGTAGGAGCAAGGTCAATCCTTGTCGGGCCCAAAAAATTAAAAGAATATATTTTGTTTATTTATAATTTTATTTTAAGGGATAGTTAAACATTTTGAAACCACATCATATTCGCGCATTTAGTTAAAGGACTGCCTTAGGGCAGGCGTTGTAGGGTTGCCTAACAACTTCCCTACACGTAACCGAATCCCGACCCAGATATGCGTTTTCGTGGACCGTGCTTTATCATTTTGAGGTTTTTCCATAGTTTCCATAACAAACTATGGTGGCGACTCCAAATCTCTTTTAAAAACCCGTTTCCTTTTTGGATCGTCGTCCCGTGCGATTCCGGTTGCGACATAAGGCTTTATTATAACCCGGAAAAGAAAAAATTCAATATAAAAATAAATAAGAAATAAATAGAAAGTCAAGACATTAATATTAGATTTTTAACTTAAAAGGTTTCAATAACTTTCCGTTAGAATATGACTAAATTATTAAATTTTGATTTTGAATTTTGTAACTTTTTTATTTCAATAACATTTGAACTCATATAGTGTTTAGTCCTTATAAATATTTTAATTTAATCTAATGTAAAACAAAATTTTTTTTGCTTTCACTTCTCTAATGTTTAATTGAGAGATATCACGTGTTATTAACATTATAATATCATAACATTAATATGAATCACTTAAAATTATCACTTATTTTTTTCAATATATGTAGTAATTATAATCAACTTTAATTACTGTTTCCTATTTTGTTTATTCTCTCATTGAGTTTGTAGGATAGAATCAAAGTTATAATTTTCTTAAAGCAATAATCTCTTACCTGAAAAATTGTTTCCTAAATTTACCTAGTGACAAATAATAAAAGTAGTTTAAAGACCATTTTTGTAATTTTTTAATCCACAAATTATAATGATATTTGCCATGTTTAATTGTTCAAAGAGTACACAATATTTGTCATGTTTGTAATTTTTTATAAACATATATGGATACTCATTGACATTTCTAAATATACAAAAATTACAATAACTTTTAAATAGATGCTTGTGTGCATTATATGAATGATTTAATCTTAAAAATATTATTTTATAGTACATAATGTGAGATCTCGGAAAATTGAACCATAATTATCTTGTCTAAATCTCAATTAATACACTGCTGAGTCACCGTCAGCTTCCATAAATACAACCAAGCCACAGCGCCAGGCATTAAAAACGCACTTTGCACTGCATGCACGAGCGCCACGTGTCACGTTAGAAGTTTCTGAAATCAGAAGTGGGAGTGCAGGTGTCAGTCAGAGGAAACGCTCGTTCGTTTGGGCGTGGAAATTAACAAAACTGAGTTTTTGAAAAACTCTCTCTCACCTACACGCACTCTTCTTCTCCTCAGAACTCAACTCTTCATTTTCTCTACCTTCTCTAAAACCTTCACCTTCTCTCTACTGTAACTCATCACCTTCTTCTCCGATCACGTTTCAGAACCGTAGAAACGTTCCTGGAGACGTGAACGTCATCTGGACCGAAGAATTGGATCGGAACTGGTAAGTTCTAGTCGCTAACCGTTCGTCATTTGGTTTCATGCGACACCTAGTTTGGTTGGATGCATGGGTTATGGGTCTGAGTTGTTTCTGATCTGGGTGTTTAGATTAAGTGAAAGTTGTTGAGCTAAACCTGAGGGTAGAACGCTGTTAAAGGACGAACTAAACCTTGCTTTTTGGGAGTACACTGCTATCCAGTAAGGGAAGTTAGTAATTTAATTTATACGTGCAGTTGTATGATATGAATTGATGCATGAAAAGTATGCTGATTGAACTGTATGAACGTCAATGATTTAAATATGTTTCTGTTGGTTGAAATGCATGTTGATTTTGATCGTATGAAAGGTGTATGACTATAGTTAGGTTGATTTATTAATATGATGAAATCTGTATGTATGAGAATAATAATGGAATGAATTTACAAAGTATGAATCACAGAGAAAGGTGAGTTAAGAGTTGAAAAATCTGGATATGATAATTCTCCATGATAAATTACATTCGTCATCGTATGGTCTTACACCGTACGGTTTTCCTGAAATTGACTTAGAATGAAATCCTTTCATTCGGAAAGAATTCTGATCGAGAACGAGCGTCCTCATTTGAATTACTGTCTGAGCGTTCGGTTCAGCTCAGTTGTATATAAATACTTTAAACTTAAAATCAGTAACGCTCGGTCTTATACCAAGCGTTCGTCCTAAATAACGCCAGTCTTATACCAAGCGTTCGTCATAATTGGTGCTCGGTCATCTACCTAGCGTTCGTCATAAGCGGTGCTCGGTCTCATACCAAGCGCTCGTAATGTTGAATAACCATTGATAACAATAGCGTTCGTTCAAGTATTAAAATATTCATTTTCTTACGTCGTTCAAATACCGGCATCGGTCTCCTATAACAAAATTTTTCAAAGAAAATTCTAAGTATTATTGACCATCCTTCTTACATTAAATCTGGTCCAAGATCTTTATTATGAATTTTTCTAAGTACCAGTATACCTTCAATCGAGTCATTCATTTAACTGACCAAAAGATAGTCATGTTCGTCCATCAGTACCTTATTTGGACGTTCGTCCTAATTCTTAAAGGACTAACGTTCGTCTTTTTATGCTCTTAAATCTAAGATGAGAATGATGATAAATTATAAGAAATTACAGTGTGAACACTATATTGAGTGATTCTATGATTATGGAAATTGAACGAGCGTTCCGGGGAGAACGACTCTTATATATATTGAATATTGAATTTGGTAAAGTATGACTGTGGATAAGTTAAGACTCGCTGTCCATCCTGATGTTCCGTGAGTACTATCTTCATGTAGAGGAAGTACGTCATGTGTGGGAACGGCAGGAGGTCCTTAGTCCATAAGTTAACATGGGCGACGTAAGAACGGACTAACCTCGAGTGGCAGCTGTTTGGTGTATCCCAGTTAATACATTACTGGGTGCAAGGACGCTGGAACTACACAGATTCATACAGTCCGGACGGTCGTCGTATATATATATATATTATACATATAGAATTGGATGAGTTATATGTTTAAATTATGGGCTTGTGTGAAATGAAATGTTTATTGTATGTTTGATGTATAAATTAAAGTACTTAAGCTTACCCTTTCGTTTTTCCTTGTGTTGTCGTTTTGTCTATGTACGTTAGTCTTGTCTTTGCAATGATCATCCATGTGGATGTGAGCAGATGGAGGTGCGTCACTTGAAGAGATGCTAGAAGAAGAATTTGGAAGACGAAATCTGGTGGAAGGGAAGTTAAAGCCGAGCCTTAGAGCGGCTCGGTTTTTCATTTATCGTCTTTAGTTTTGAGTTGTAACGTTCGGTCAATGTTTTGTAAGACCGTTCGCCCTGAAAATCATTTATTGTTGCGTTGTTTATGTTTGTAATTTAAGCCGTTCGACTTTTTGACCACTAGTTAGTAATGTAAAGACTGCACTGTTTTACTGTTAATTGTAATTAATTCTTGTATTTTGGGATGTTACATTAGGTTATGAGTACACTATGTTTTTGCTGTGTGCTTGATATATGTTTAAATGAGTTATTTTATTTGACTCTTTGAAACATAACTAACGCTCGTTTTCTCTGTGTCCAGAGAACAAATGGCACCTAGGCTTCCTCCTCCTCTTACGTCCAACAACACTAGGTTGTTGGAAACAATGGTTGAAAGAATAAGTGGATAAATTTAATGATAAAATGTTTATTGTTTTTTTAAAGAATTTAAAGATAAAAACGAATAGATTTAAAGGTTAAATTTGTGAATAACTTCACTCACGTAATAGATTAAAATAATAATAGATAAAAAAAGTGAAATTATTTAATTGCTCTTGATTGTTAAAAGTAATATAAAATGTTATTTAAATGAATTATATTTATTTTATGACATATTTTAATAAATGAAAATTTTTAAAAAAAATATTATAATAAATAAAGAATACAATATATACTTAGTAGCATACTAAAAAAATTAAATGTTTAGATATTGAACATTTTTGTGGTAAATATAGAATAACTTATGAATTATATATATGAAAATTATATTTCGTTAATCTCTTCAATTTTTTAAGTCATTTTTTGACTTGTAGAACCCATCTTATATTTTTTAAATTAATATATAAATTTTATTTATATGAAAGCGAGGGAGAGAGTTACGAACCTCCTACAAGAAACTTCCTCCAGCCCATCAAGATCCAGTTTTGTGGGTAGTACAGCAAGTTCAAGTTTCCATTTCATGCTGATTCCTATTAAATAAATTATATATTTAAGTCTCATCTAATAAAAATTAATTTGAATTTTAAGATGAATATTAACAGATTCACAGTTTCACAATTTTGAAATAAATAATTATTTAATTTCATTAATCGAAATCAAATTTATTCAACAAAATTATTTTTGGTAATTCAACAAAGATGTGCAAGAGTGGCTAGGTGTTCCCAGGTAAAGACAAACAAATTTTAGAGACTAAAAATATATTTACTTATTTTATCATTTCTAAATTAAACCTTTCCATTCATAACAATTTAAAATAAAGAAATATTTCTAACTTCAAATGAAATTTTAATATAAACTCAATTACAAATAACCTAAGTTCGTGTAGAGTAAAATAAGTAAAGTAAGTAGAAAAAGACCTTAAAACCACTTTCTCCCTACCACCCTTGCATTGCTAGGAAGCTCTTAACTTCTCTTTTAAAATTCTTCTTCGCCTTCGCGATGCTCCGCCGCACCATTCCTTTCTGCGCATCAAGGAAGGTGCGTTTCGGCGTTAGGCACAAATCCGGTGGCGGAAGAAGGCCGAAGAAGAAAACGTACCACAGAGTGGCTGAACTAGACCGAGTGATGGAACTGCGAAAGAAGCCATTGATGATTCTCCAACTCACCTCCCTCATCCAATTTCAGCCCCACCACTCCCCCCTCTTCCTCCGCGATCTCGAGAAGAACGTCGGCTTCGTTCGAAAATGGGCCTTCATGGCCCTCATCGACAAACACCCCTCCGTCTTCCGCGTCTCAGGGGCGCCCCCTTCGGTCTCCCTCACGGCCCGGGCCCGAACCCTAGCCCAGGAAGAGCCCAACGCCCGAGCCTCCATGGAACCCCTCTTGGTCACCAACCTGCGGAAGCTGCTCATGCTCTGCGTCGATTGCAAACTGCCTCTTCAAACTGTGGAGCTCGTTGGACCTCAGTTGGGCCTTCCCTCCGATTTTAAAGACTGTTTGATTCCGAAGTACCCCCAGTTTTTCACGGTTAGGAGCTTCCGTGGAAGGGATTGTCTTCTGTTGGAGGATTGGGATTCCAACTTGGCTGTCACTTCTAGAGAGACTAGGTACGTTTTTGGATGATAATCATCACATACATTGTGGACATTTTTTCATATGGACTCTTTAAAGAGTTTATTTTCTTTTTTCTTCCAAATTGATTTTACTGAAAACTCGGCCAAACAAACCAATGTGATTGTTACATGTCTTGGAATTTGTTAAATTATAGGATTTTTTTTTTTAAACATTGTACATGTTTTGATCTCAAATTGTCTCAGCTAATGAATTTGTTATTAGAAAAAGAGAGCTGTAATTTGTTACTAAGAGAGAAAAAGAGAGACAAGAAATAATATTGAGGAAAATAATAGACACAAAAAGTATGGGTTTATAAAGAACTCAACTCTTAAGAAGAAAGTTAATTTGGTTGTTGACTTTGGTGTTTGTTGTGTCCATTCATCCTTCACAAAAAAATATCGTAGTATGTTAGAATTTGGGTTTAGACTTAACTTAAAACTAACTCGTTAGATGAGATTTGTATCTCCTTATAGATGCTATTTATTCTATCACTAGGAAAAACAGATTTATAAGATAGACTTTATGTTGTGTTTATATACGTTATATTAATCATATCATTGGTCAATAAGGGATCTCAAGGTATCCTTTTACTCCGAGGGCCAGCTATGTCAAGTAAGTTGGACTAGATATTTGCAAATGTTCTTCTCATAACAACCCGACAATAAGAAACATAACAGGTCTACAATTATTACCGAGACGGACTCTCTTAGTCATATTGAAGTTTGATTTGCATTCTACTTATATACTTTATTTAAAGATATAATTACTGATGAATGGGAGATCTCAAACATAGTTCATGATTCTTAATTTTAGTACCCTTCCACGAATATGATCTTCCATAACATTATGAAAATTAAAGTCTCTAATGATTACTTATCGTAATATTACGGATCGTAGTTTTATTTATAATGTATTGATTTTTAGTATAACAATTGTTTTTTTTTCGTTTAAGTTTCTATTTCTAGATACATGTTTAGATTTGTTAAACTCTTAAGAAATTGTCTTCTTAGTTTTGGGTTAGAATTAGCTTATTTTGAATGATAATTTAATTTTTTTGCAGCTTTAAAAAGCCTTTATAATTTAAAAAGGTGATTATTTCTCAGATGACATAAATAGTGAGACTTTGAACATAAATTCTTTTGGGTACAAAATGAGTTAATCTATACTCGAATTAGGTTGGCTCAGGAAGGAGTTGTGAACATGAAGGCAAACGGAGATAGGAGGAAGGTGAAGATTTCAAGAGATGGGAACTACCTTGGTCCATTTGCTTTCAAAATGAATTTTCCTGCTGGATTTAGGCCAAATGTTGGTTACCTTGAGCAGCTTGAGAGGTGGCAGAAGTTGGAGTTCCCTTCTCCTTATTTGAATGCAAGGAGATTTGATGCTGCTGATCCAAAAACTCGAAAACGATCTGTGGCAGTGATTCATGAGCTCCTGAGCTTGACCATGGAGAAGAGGATGACATCTGCACAGCTTGAAGCATTTCATGCAGAGTGTCTTTTGCCATCTCAATTACTGCTTTGCTTGATAAAGCATCAGGGGATATTTTACCTCACTAATAAAGGTGAACGGAGTACCGTGTTCCTCAAAGATGCATACATTGGTTCCAACTTGATAGATAAGTGTCCTCTGTTGCAATTTTATGATAAATTTATGGCACTCTGTGGAAGAGGAAATATTGATCTGTGTGACAACGCGAATTCCTTACCAACCGTAATTTAGAAGTTGAATTCGATTGATTCTTTAGTGATAAGGTAATTCTGCATCTCTTCCTAGTTGGTAGAGGCTAAGGATATATAACTGGAAAAGTATGCAGCATAAGGATATCATTCCTCACGTAATTACAATCTCCTGATACTTCTACATCAAAATTGTTGATAGATTAGGAATATTAGCTACGGCTAGAAAGGCTGTGATCAAAAGTGAAAGTTGACTTTATCAAATTAGAATATTTTCATCGTCCCTTGCGGTCAGAGGTTGAAGTTGTTCAGAAAAGTCTTATCGTTTAAACTTCTGATGCTCATAGTTCGGCAAATATGTATGTCCACAGACAATTTGATCATTGCTCTTAAGGCCTTTTCAGCGTGGTGATAAAGATGATATTTAGGAGTTCATCAAAAGAAGAGGCTAGGCATGAAAGTATATACAACATCATTATGCATCTGATGCTTTAGTGTAAATATGCTGCCTTAATCTGAAGATTCTTTTATGGAGATTTTGGTACTCCTTTGATGCATTTGTGACTGACCAGTTAAAGAGCTATAACCGCTTGAAGACACCAGAGATTGTTCTAAATACTGTCTCACATGTGTATCATACTCAGGCGTTAGTGCTGCTGTGAGAGTTGTTAGTTGTTCTCGAGGTAATATTCCCTCACTCCATATGTTCATATATTATTATCCTCAAGATATAAATTGAAGCTCCTGTTTGCATCAAATGATTAAATCTTTGTAGAATGGATTTATGATGGCATTTTTCTCTATTGATTAGGAATTCAGTATGATCTCAAATTTTATTCACTTCCAGAACAAGGGTCTGAATGGACAAACTTTTCTATAAATACTTTTAGAAAAGAAACATCTGAAAAAATTGAAACTAATATAGTAAGTTAATGTTAGTTTTTGCATAAGTTATAGTAAGCTAACTGTATAAATGTGTGAGCAACCGTTTTGCATTACTACGATGAACTTGGTAGAAAATCTTGGATTGTAATAAGTTAGCTGTGATCTTGCTCTCAACTTGAAAGCCTTGTGGTAAGGCAAACCAAACAGGTTTCATAAAGCAGTGAGTTGGATACGCAAAATCAAAATTCCATATCACTTTCTTTATTATTTAAATTTTCTTATTCTTAATTAACATTTGAGATTTCACTGAACAGAAATGTCACACGATAGGATCCAAACTCTTGTTTTGTGTGCGTTTGTTTTAAGTTTGTTAAAAGTATTTTTCGAAGTAGTTTATTAGAAACCTCTTTTCTTCCTTTAATCATGTTTTTCTACACTGACTTATATATTTAATGATTGATTGCATGCTTAATGGACATAATTATCTGTCTAATATAGCACTATGTTGATAAACACACCTTTTTGTGAAAATAAAGTGACTTCGGTTAAGATAAAACAAGATAAAGTTTTCTGCAAGCACTTTTATAGGAAAACGAGAGTTCATAAAAACCTATTTGCTTAACCTTAGTTTTAATACACAAATTTGTTGATTAAACTTTTGATCACATTCTTAATGGACATTATTGTCTATTAAACATATTATTACATCGTGGCGATAAGAAACCTCCTCCTGCCAAAACAGTTTGGTTCTTGCGAAATAAAATGGTTTAAGTTAAGATACAGTGTGGATGTATTTTTTTTTTTTTTTAACAATCACTTGTAGGAAAATCAAATAAGAAAAAAAACTTCTCTCAAAAACTGAAATTAATTTATATATTAATTATCATTACCTTTTGAAGAAATTAATATAATATTATTTTGCATAAACTAATACATAAACTAGTTGTAATGTAACAAAAACATTTATTTAAATTTCTCTATAGTTTTATTTAAATTTCATATCTAATGTCACTCAATGGTCAAATTTAATTTAACGCAATGGTTATCATTTAACTCAATGGTCAAACTTAATTTAATTTAAATCTGTACTGACAAACTGTATGTATCAGAGAAGGTGATAGAATCATTGGAGAGAACTCAAGAGTTGATGATAGACATCCATTGAAGCTTCAAACTCTGGGGAAGTTGATGATGACCGAAGCTTACAATGAAAAAGGACGGGGAAAATTAGAAAATTTTAATTCAAATTTAAAAATCCTATATCTAGATAAAAGGCCAAGATTAACATATGTTTTTCATGCTTGTGTCATGATTTTCAATTGAAATGCTTAAAGTGAAATTCCAAGTTTCTAGATAAATTTTGTAATATAAAGTATAACTCGGGTTCATTCTCTCTCAAATGATACATATTTCTCAAATGATATTTTTCAAATGATACATATTGAATTGTATTTTTAGTATTTTTGTTTCAATACATAAAATTGAGGGTTTAGGGGTTGAAGAAAAATAAAATGTGATTTGAAAGACAAGATTACAAATCAAAAGCAAAAATTTCACAAAATCAAATCATATCAATTCACATATTCAAACAACCAACCAATTCAAAACTTATAATTTTCTGGACATTGAATCTAAACTTATGCATTAATCAATTTAATTAATAAACTAAACCGGTTTTATAGGAATGAAATTTCAATATCATTCAATTCGTATTCAATTATCACATCAAGATTTAATTTTTTTCTTACTTTAAATTCTAATTTTAGAAACTTGATATCATAAAGAGCAAAATGGAATTTAGAAAAGAACAACAAACTTAAAGTAAAAAATAATTGATACAAAGCTTAATTTGGCTTGTTTGATCTTGGTTTCATGAATTATCCTTAGAGATTTAATTCTCCATTAGTGAAGAAAATAAAAACAGAGAAGAGGAGGAAAAGAACAATGAAAAAATAAAATGAGATAAAAAGAATACCAAGAGACTTTTTTTTTTAATTTTTGAAACTAAATAAATGATTTTATGTTTACCTTTTTTTAATACAATTTGGCTTATATAGGTTTTGAAAACTAAAGCAAATGTGGATTTAATCATGGACTTTCATCAAGTCCATAAATTCAATTGTAAAGGTTTAAGCTAATACACAAAAAAACATAATACAAATTTTCAGGAAATTGGTCTCAACTTCTAAAAAATCATGTGTTCATTTTGAAACTTAGAAAATGTAGAATCTAATGTATCTATAATCAGTCAAAAGTAATATTTACATAAAATAAAATAACATACAAAATTTAAATAAATATATACAATGAATTTACTTTATTACACTAATGAAATAAAATGGCTTAAAAATTGAAAATAAAACATATGAAAAGTGAAGTCACTATACAATAAATATGTAAATGTGTAAACAAAATATTTTGTTATTATGTGTCACCCTTCGTACTTATGTGACACTCATGACACGTGTATCACATTAGTTTTGCCTTTCCATGATTTGGTTGAACTTTACTATCTACAATTGGAATTGAATTGTTGGCATATGCTTCTTGATTATCTTGCACTCGTTGATCAAAGTCATTAGTCTCAAACAACCTAGACTATAAACACCTTTTGCAACTAAATAAGAATCACTTAAAATTATCACTTATTTTTTTCAATATATGAACACTTAACTAACGTCGTAATTATAATCAACTTTAATTTACTGTTTCCTATTTTGTTTATTCTCTCATTGAGTTTTGTAGGATAGAATCAAAGTTATAATTTTCTTAAAGCAATAATCTCTTACCTGAAAAATTGTCTATCTGAAATTTACCTAGTGACAAAATAATAAAAGTAGTTTAAAGACCATTTTTGTAATTTTTAATCCACAAATTATAATGATATTTGCCATGTTTAATTGTTCAAAGAGTACACAATATTTGTCATGTTTGTAATTTTTTATAAACATATATGGATACTCATTGACATTTCTAAATATACAAAAATTACAATAACTTTTAAATAGATTCTTGTGTGCATTATATGAATGATTTAATCTTAAAAATATTATTTTATAGTACATAACAATAGTCAATCTAAAATGAAATAATCTTGAAATATCTTAATAAGCTTGGTCAACACACTAAAATAAGATAAGAATTAGTTAATATATAGTTAAGAAAGATTAAAATATCTTAAGATGTGTTTATCTTGGAAAATGAATTTGATGAAGAATAAGTGGATAAATTTAATGATAAAATGTTTATTGTTTTTTTAAAGAATTTAAAGATAAAAACGAATAGATTTAAAGGTTAAATTTGTGAATAACTTCACTCACGTAATAAATTAAAATAATAATAAATAAAAAAGTGAAATTATCTAATTGCTCTTGACTGTAATATAAAATATTATTTAGATGAATTATATTTATTTTATAAAAAATATTTTAATAAATGAAAATTTTAAAAAAATATATTATAATAAATAAATAATACAATATACTTACTAACATACTAAAAAAAATTAAATATTTAGATATTGAACATTTTTGTGGTAAATATAGAATAACTTATGATATATATATGAAAATTATATTTCGTTAATCCTCTTCAATTTTTTAAGTAATTTTTTGACTTGTAGAATCCATCTTATATTTTTTAAATTAATATATAAATTTTATTTATATGAAAGCGAGGGAGAGAGTTATGAACCTTCTACAAGAAACTTCCTCCAGCCCATCAAGATCCAGTTTTGTGGGTAGTACAGCAAGTTCAAGTTTCCATTTCATGCTGATTCCTATTAAATAAATTATATATTTAAGTCTCATCTAATAAAAATTAATTTAAATTTTAAGATGAATATTAACAGATTCACAGTTTCATAATTTTGAAATAAACAATTATTTAATTTCATTACTCGAAATCAAATTTATTCAACAAAATTATTTTTGGTAATTCAACAAAGATGTGAAAGAGTGGGTAGGTGTTCCCATGTAAAGACAAACAAATGTTATCTTTACTATAATCGTAGTACCAGTAGAGCATGCATGTGGAGGGAACGTGTATTTACATGGAAGATATAATTGTATCACTCTCAAATCACTTCACTCAAAGCAATATTCGAAAATCTCACCATAAATCACCCACAAGCAATTTTCGCCTATTCAACCTAAGTTTGTGAAACCACTCTAATATTATAAAAGAGACACCATTTAGGAGGTATCACTATTTATTAAGTATGTACATGCATTTATTATCTCACACATATTTAACTTAGTGCAGTATAGAAACCATGA